TAGTCAATTCCTAAAGGTTCTAAATATTAGCAGTAAAGCTACTTACCATAAGCAGTTTATAAGCATCAACCCAGGAATTAAACTTTAAAAAAAGAAAGAAAATGAGAAGTTACAGAAGCAAGATGCAACCCTAGATTTCCAGCTCACCAAAGACATATCCAGTGAGCAATGAGGTAGAACAATTTGAAAGCCACCCACCTGGACTCTCTGAAATGATAACAGCAGAAATAACAAAGCAGATGAATGAGGCTCTAGAAGAATTCAAATCAGAAATAATTTCTCAGGTAACTACAGAGATGGTGATCATAATGAAAGACACGCTTAGTGACTCTAGAGCAGATACAGATAAAAATAGAGGAGCTCAGGAAAATGATGGAAACCATGAACACCCAGCATAGGAAAGAAATGGAATCCATCAAACAGATTGAAACAGCTATCTAGGAGATTAAAAATTCCACTGAAAGTATACACAGTAGAATGAGCCAGTGTGTGGACAGAATATCAGATATAGAAGACAAGATCACAGTTAGCGATCATGAAAAGAAAGATTTCTTAAAAGTATGAAGAGACCACAAAAAATCAAACATTTCCTTGATAATGCAAAGAAGAATAACAAGATTGATTGGAGTCAGTGAAAAAGCAGGTGATCACACAAATGACATAAAAACACCTGTTCACAGAAGTAATGGTAGAAAACTTCCTAAGCATGGAAAAAGAATTTCACATATGGATAAGTGAGGCATATAGAACTCCAATTAGCAATGATCAAAAAAATCTACCCCAAAGCATATAATAGTCAAGATTTCAGAAATTCAACACAACAGAATTTTAAAAGCTTTTAAAGAAACAAATCACCTATAAAGGAAAGCCCATTAGAATCATAGCAGACTTCTCAACACAAACCCTCAAATCAAGGAGAGGTTGGAGTGAAGTATTTCAAGCCCTAAAAGAAAACAACCTCCAACCCAGATTGATGTATCCCACTAAACTATCTTTCAAAATTGATGGAGAAATTAGATAATTCATGACAAAGAACACCTGAGGAAATTCAGGACCACCAAACCAGCACTATAAAATGTTCTGAAGGATATTCTAGAAAGAGATAACAAGGATTACAACTCCATGAACCCCAACAGAACGAATCCACCAGGCAAGGCAAGCTATTAAGTAGAAGTGAAAAAAATGAAACCAACACAAGAAGAATAGCATGACAAGGATATTCAATACATATCAGTTATGGCCATCAGTGTTAATGGTCTCAATTCTCCAATCAAAAGGAACAGGTGGGCAGAATGGATCAAGAAGCAAGATCCAACAATATGCTGCATACAAGAAACACATTTAATTCAAAAAGAAATTCATTGACTGGAAGTCAAAGGATAGAATATTCCATGAGACAGGAAGCTGGCAAAAAGCAGGGGCAGCTATTCTCTTTGCAGACAAATTGGATTTCAAGCCAAGACTGAATAAGAGAGACAAAGAAGGTCATTACATTGCTGCTCGGCCTATTGGCAAAGATTAAGTGTAAAGAAGGACAGTACATCTTTGAAAAGGGAACAATCCTAGAGGAAGACATAACGATCATAAATATATTTGCACCAAATACTAGTGCTCCCAACTATATAAAATATTAACAGACATGAAAAATTAAATAAACTCTAATACAGTTGTAATAGGGACTTCAGTATCCCACTGTTATAAATAGATCAACTGGACAAAAAAATCAACAATGAAATACCAGACTTTTGAACAAATGGACTTAGTAGATGTCTGCAGTGTGTTCATCCCACAACATCAGAATACACATTCTTCTCAGCTACACATTGGACATTTTCCAAAATAGACCACATGCTAGCTCATAGAACATGCTTAAGTAAATGCAAATGAATTGAAATTATCCTATACATATTATCAGACCATAGTGCAATGAAATTTGAAATCAGTGGCAAAAGAAACCACAAGAACTTCATAAACACATGGAAATTAAATAACACCCCCTTGAACAACCAATGGGTCACAGAGGAAATTAAAGAAGAAATTAGTTTCTACCATAGGACATGCAAGCTCCCAACTAGACCCCAAACATCTGTCACCTATAAATTAATTAAATTGTTTAAAAAAAAAAGTAGACTTTCACACATCAATATGGGTGCATCTCAAAAGCATCATGTTAAGTCAAAGAGACCAAACACAAAAGAGTACATTATAGTGCAAATGGAAAATTTTAAAGTGATAGAAACTGATTATGGGTTGTCTGGGACTAAAAGCTCTCGTAGGGGTTGGATATGGGATTTGACTACAGAGAGGCAGAGGAATTTTTTTGTGCTGAAGGAATGTTTCTAAGTCACATTTGTAGTTATCACTTCGGGAAGGCTGAGGTTTTTTGCTTTTTTTTTTTTGGTACCGAGGATCGAACTCGGGTCCTTCCACTTGTGCAGCAGGCGGAGAAACCACTGAACTAAATCCCCGGCCTGGCTGAGGTGTTTTTTTTTAACAGGCTTAATTCTTGGTCATCTAATCTTTGCCAAGTTTTTTGGCCCTTAGGTCTACTTCATCATGTTACCTGGACCTCTCTCCCAGATTAACTTTAGCTTTTCCTGTTTAGTACTTTGCTGCCCTAGACAGCCTTGTTGTTCTCCTAGAATTTTTCCTACTAGTGAATATAATAGAAAAACAGTTTAGGGTCTCAGAGTCTCTGACATAAGTTCTTTGTGTCTTCCAAAGTAATACGTTCAATAAATATATCCATGTTAATAGTTTTAAAGGCAAGACCCAGAGAAGGCTTCATCCTAACACATTGGCAAATTAATATGGGCTAACTTTTAAAAGTACAGTCAGGCTTCCTTTTAGGAAAATAACACTCTCTATCTCTCCCATATAATGCTGGAAATAAATTTCTGAAGATTAAGGTCTAGATCTCCAGTTTGCAAAGTTAACCTCTGGGGATGGTTTAAAAAAAAATCTGTATTTTTAAAAACTCCACAAGTTACTTTAGTGATGAGTCAAGCTTAGAAACAACTGGATTAAGGTACTGCTAACACTCTTTCCAAGCAGGTGAAATTTCCTTTCATGCCTTTAGACTTCACTAAGGTATGTATGTGCTGGTTTAATCAGAAGTCTTTACAGGAGAATTTTTCATATGCTCCAGTATGTCTGCCGTATCCACAGTTGGTCTTTTCACTTCTCTAAAGGAAAAATGAGAAGTTAGCTAGTTTTACTAAAACCTTTCTGTGTGCCAGATACTATATAAGAGCTCACATTTAGTCTTCATACATGATTTTTAAAAATGAGATCAGAGGTAGTAAGAAACTTCCCTAAGGACAGACCTACTAAGTGGCAAGAGTTTTGTATGTTTGACTTTAAAACAAGGGACCTACCTCTAGATAAAATGAAGAGCTGTCCTTTGTCTTTTCTGATGGCTCATTTGCTCCTGAATTTCTCTTCCTCTCTATCTCTGGACACAAATAGGAAAACAAAAAATGTACTGGTATGCTAGGCATACCTATAATCCAGGTGAGGCTAAGGCAGGAAACACTCCTATAATCCAGGTGAGGCTAAGGCAGGAGCATTGCAAGTTCAAGGCCAGTATGGGCAACTTAGTGAGGGCCTGTCTCAAAAACAGAAAAGGCTGGAACATAGGTCAGTGCCATGGGTCTTCATTCAGTCCCCATTACCATGAGAAAACAAAACAAAAACTACTGGTACATACTATGCTTGGGGTAGGTAGTTTCTAAGTTTTTCTGTATCTTTAGTATCATGTGACTATTATTTAGAATATATTTACATAGGAAGAGTATTAGAATGAATATTCAGTTGCTAGGTTGAAATATGTCCAAATAGAACGATGTCTCATGGTATGTTAGTTTTCCATCACTATGACACAATACCTAATATAAATCAAGTTAAAGAATGAAATACTTATTTTGGTTTATAGTCACAGAAGTTTCAGTCCATGGTCATCTGGCTCCATTGCTGTGGACTTAGGGCAGTGGTGGCAAACCTGTGGAAGGTGCTGCAGCTGGCTGTTGTCACTGAAAACTCTTAAGAAGTGTGCCATCACCTATGGCAAGGCAGAATATCCTAGCAGCAACCAGGAAGGAGAGAGAAGGGCAAGGAGTTAGAGAGGAAGGAGCAGGGACTAGCTATAGTCCCCAAAGTTACACCCCTATGATCTGCTCCCTTAGCTAGGCCCCATCTCCTGTTTCCATCACCTCCCGTCAAATTATGACCTTATTAATGAATCAATCCACTTGATGAAGTTAGATTCCTTGTGATCCAATTACTTCCCCCAAAACCCATTAGCTGGCAACTAAGCCTTCACCACATAAGTTTTAGGGACATTTCAAATACAAACTGTAGTACTAATTTATAATACAGTTCATAATAGAGTCCTGAAGCAGTTCTTGCCTTCTTTATCCTGTCCACTAGCAGCCTGGAGAAGGACAAAATTCTCTCTTAATGAGATAGGGTAAATAACTCTGGGCATCAGCAATTCTGCATTTGCCTACAGGTGGCTGAATCTGCACTGCATCTAGGCCTGTACTGTACAATAAGCTAGCTGTAGGTTAAATTTTACTATTTAAAGTTGAATTAAGTAAAATTTAAAATTTAGTTCTTCAATCACCATGGCCACATATCAAATGCTTCATAGGCATTTATGACTAACAACCACTTTATTAAATAGAGCACATAGAATATTTCATCATCACAGAAAGTTCAGCTGTGCCGAACTGATCAAGAAGAAGTGGACCTGCCTGTGCACAACTGTTACTGGGATGAAGGCAGCACGTTGGGCTTTCATGTTAGTATGTTTTTATGGGTTCTCTTATGAGGACCAATCAGCCCAAATCAATGGATCAGTTTACCATTGATATATCAAATTTAACTTAAAAATTTTTTGGCCAGAGTTTAAAATTTTTTTTTGATAATTTCTAATGCTTAGTAGTGGTGTCTTGAGACAAAAACATGTATAGAGATAACTTTGAAAAACTACATTGTAGGCAGCTGAGATACTACTACAACATGGAGCAAACCCTAATCAAGAAGATCAAACACAGAAGACTGCTTTGGATGAAGCAGATAATGAAAAAATGAAAGAGTTGCTAAAATCTTATGGTGCTATTGAGACCAATAATAGAGATGAGAGTAATGCTGCAGTCACTGGTATGTATGCCAGTATCACTTGCTACTTTATCAGATGTATTTCTCTTCTTAGAAAAATAAAATCTTCACCATTGTATAAATTGTTTCAAAACTGGAGAGATATTTCTTAAATTCTTGAAAATCCATTCTGTACTGTTAGAAATTAGCATTTTCAAATTTTGTTTAATTTATAGATTATATGATCCTATTGGGTTGCAATTGCATGTTGAATTGATATCATTTTATTAAACATTAATCTCCCTATGTCTGAGATTGAGATAAAAACTTAATTGAAACCAGGCAGATTAGTTTACTTGTAGTGGGACTAGAAAAATGTGACCATTATGCTAATGCCTTTGCAACTAAGATTTTATTACTTCAAAAATCTGTAATGACACATACATTTATTGAGCTCATGTCAACTTTTTAAGAATCTAATATTCTAATATTAGAATATTAACTTGTAAAGCAAATATAGTTGTATATATGAGTGATATGTATTATAATTTCAAAGAAATGTATAGCCAGGCAAAATTTTATGGATTTTTTTCTAGCAGTAGTTTGCATTTCACTAAGTTTTGAGGAAAGGGAATTGTTCTTCCTTTTTTCCTCAAGCTTGAGCCTTTGCTTATAGAAGCAGCAGCCCAAGAACATACCTGCCTTCAGTGTGAAGGAAATTGCTGGGAATGAGAACCCCTGTCATGCTCTGCCCCCTCAGCCTACCACCCTCCTCACCAACCTGTTGATTTTCAAGGGAGGATAATTACTGATATGACTGGACAGACCAAAGATATTTATTGTGTGATATTTCACTAATCAGCTAGATCACATGGCCAGGGTCAAAACGGCGAAAAGTTTTCTTTATATTGGTTGCCACCATATACTAAATATATAGGGTCAGGGCCTTTCTTAGGGTCACAGCCATTTCTTTGTCCCTCTTCAAGCCATACATGAAGGAAAGTGCAGGTCCAATATTTAGCTGATCTCACAGTGTTAGAGAAATCTTGCATTTGGAGTTAATAGGACTCTGTTATAAAGTGCTATATTTGTTTTCGCATGCATTTTGTTTCTTACATGTACATTTAATTGGTCAGATATCCTAGAAAGATGAGGGGTATAGAATAAATGGTATTATGGGCCAGGGATTTAGCTTAGTGGTTCTGCCTCCTGCCTTGCAAGCGCAAGGTCTTGAGTTCGATCTCCAGTACCAAATGGTATTATGGAGAAAGAGAATCCATAAAAGGAGGATTCAAGAATACTTTACAGAGCAATGAATCATAGTTATAGAGGTTAAGGGCATAGACCTACAGTCAGTAAGATCTGGTTTCTGCTAGCCATGTGACATTGAGCAACTTCCTGAACTTTGCTGAAGGAAGCCTCACTTTCTTCTATAAAATAGTTGTAATATACTGCCTACCTCAAATGATTCACAGGAAGATTAAACAAGATGATTCACAGAATATGTTTGTCAACTAGCATGTGGTAAGTGCTTAGTAGATGTTAGCCATATTATTCAGTAATAACAGTGAAGTACTAATTAGCATTGATATAATTGTAGACTTAATTTATCCTTCCCATACCTGTCATCATTAAAGCTGATAAAATGAAGCTAAATTTTTGCACATTCTTACTGTATTTTCTAACTTTATTTTTTCAAGTAAAAAGTCCTACTGTTTGGTCAAAAAGATACAAACAGTGTTTGGGTGTTGAGGACGAAACTGTTGATCCACCTACTCCTTCACACCAAGAAGAAAGAAGAGAAAACTTTCCCGTGGTGAGTGAAATTGAAATTCTTTCATTCTTCAGTCTAGAAAATGCCATTCGTTGAGCCAGGCAGCCATTGGCTCTTTGCAGCACTTTCCATTTTAAGGACACACAGATTGACAGTGTTTTTTGTCATAAAAAAAATAAGATACCATAATTGAGCAGAATAAACCAAGAAGATATACTATGTGGTTAACTCTCAGTTATGTGCTGGAACTATCTATGGAACTATTTCTGCTGAGCTTAACACCTAGTTTGAGTTGTTTGGCTATTTATCCCCCAGACACTGCCGCTATCATTGAGTGTCTTCACTCACTCCCAAAGTGTCTAAGCTAAGCAGTATATAGAAAAGACTCTGGATCCCAAGCAGAGAAAAGGAAACCTGGTTTAGCTGTCCTGGACCCCACTAGATTTGTAGTAACAAAGTTTTCTTTTTCTTTTTATTATTCCTTAAGTTTATTGGTACATTTTAGGTATATAGTATAACGGCATTCATCATTGGGAATTTCTACCTTTATGTGATATATCTTGGTTCTTATTTTTCCCCCATTCCCCTACCCTCCCTTCAACCCCTCCAGTCCTTCCTATTTACAAAGACTTTGTTTTCATCTTTTCCTTTTCTCATATTCCTTTCCCTTATGAAACCATCATGTAAAGGTAATTTTTGTAAAAAAATACCCTAGTAATTAATTGCTCAATAAATTACATATTTATTGGTAAGATATTCTCAGTTTGATAAAAAGACACAGCTTACTAGACACAAACTTCTTAAGGTAGAATCCTTAATGCAAAACTGTTTTGAGTAAGTCAGCACATTGTAGTTAAAATTGAATACATCCACAATATAGGCAAGACAGAAAGAAAGTTGGCACCAGAAGATATTTTCTTTATCCTAACTTGTAGGTAGAGCCTTGGCCTAGGCCCAAGTTTAGCCTTTAGTTTTCTTTTATAACTTTTCTTTTTTGTAAGCCATGCACTATATAAAGAAGTAAACCTTAGGGGTTTTTTTGTATTTTAAGTTTCACTTTGATGTATTTAATAAATGACAACATAAGGTTGCTTTACCAGATAATTAGGTGATTTTATTGTGTGCATTTTCTTATGATCATCAAAGTAAAATTTCATAGCCATGTATTTCAGGTTTTGAGCACCTACACATTTTAAAGATGAATGTATATTGAGACTTTATGAAAGGATAGATAAGTCAATCCATCAGTCATCCTTTATTGAAACAACTGTGTACCTAGCAATGTATAAATCATACACAAATATGAAAACTGGTCCTACCTACAAGACCTCATTGTCTTAATGAGGAAAAATATAATACAACATATATATTGTTATGGGTTAGATCTGAAATGTCCCCCAGAAGTCTTGTGTTCAGAGGTCAGGGTTTTGAAAGGTGACTGGATGATGGAATGGTATACTCATTGCGGTGTTAATCTGTTGATGAGCTCATTGCTGCATGCTGTTAGGAGATGGGGCTGAGTTAGAGGCACTGGGTAACTAGGAGCATTGATGGAGCCAGCTGTCACTTGTCGAACAGTACCTGAATGGGGGAGTGAGGATGAAGAAAAAGAAAGACAAAGAGATAGAGTCAGGAGGGCTCCCAGAGACCGAGCGCCCAAGTTTATTTTTCTCCTCTCTTTTATACAGCAGGTGAGTTTGGTTGTTAATCATGACCCTTATCCAGAGACACCTGCTTCCTTGTTCTCTAGTTCTTTGGGAATTCCCCACCCTCATGGGCTTCCTTGTTTCTCGGGGTTACAGAACGTTCATCACGTTCCAGGGCAATCTAATTCGGCAAGGACGCAGTTCCTCATAACATAGTCTCCTTGCTCTATACAATGGCGTGTGAGATTCAAAATGGAGCCTCTTTGGCTAACACCGCTCTCCACACACCGCTCTCCACATCTCCCCCTGTTTTATATATTATGATCAAGGTCCCTTGATCACGCAGATAGACTGTGCCTGTCTTAGGCGAGGAATATAAAGAAATCCCTTACCTGTCATGGAGTCAAGAGCATCACAGTACTCTTGCTTTGTCTTAGGTTGGTGATTTCCTATACTCCTCTTACCCGTCATTGACTACCAGCCTCTGCAGGGAATTACACCATGGGTTTAGGCGGTGTAGCATGTGATTATAGACCATGAATACTTCCAGCCATCCACATTAAAGAATGCACAAACATCTGCAGTAGAACCGGTAGGATCATGCATCTAAGAGGCAGCCCTCCTCCAATAATTACTATGGAAATGAGTTACCACATAAATGCAGATGTAGATGGCAGAACTTTTCTAATTTGTTTGATAAAATCCTGTGCAGCCTGGGTTGCATCAAATTCCAGGGGTTCTGCATTTGGGGGATCTATAATATCCAAATCTAAGAACACATTCGCAGAACCATTATCTGATTTTCTGTTCGGGTGACACAACTGCTTATTTGACAATTAAAGCAAATTACACTATAATAATCATAACCTTTCTGACCACTAATATTTCTTACAAGCAATACATAAGAGTGCATGACACATGCAATGACATTTCTCTTGGGATGACAAGAATTTTCAAACCCGTCTAAAACATAAGTATCAAGTCCAGTAATATTATATCTCACAGAGGCATCTGCCACACATCTCTTCCATGGAATAGTCTTATTGGAGCATTAAAAGTTGGAGGCACTACACCAGTGGTCTCTATACCCACAGGTAGATGTAGATGGACTCCAGTGATCCCACCTTTGCATTGGTCTACCTGCCTTCCTGTCAGGGTGTGAGCACTCAGTCTTATACAATCAGTTCTGTTGATTTTGAAGAAACATATGGGGATTCTGGTTTCTGATCCCGTACAGTTGAACAATCAGACCTCGTTCTTATCAGGTGCCACCGGCTCATCCAACAGCCTGGTATTGTTCACCCATACCATTACTTCTCTATTTTTTCAGCTCGTTGGATGTACAACAGGTGGGTCAGGTACATAAGTCCAATAAACCTTCTCATTAAGCGTCATCATTAGATTTATCAGCAGGACAGTTGTCAGGATCATCCTAAGGGGCAGGAGAATTTCCCACAAAACGGACCAATCTTTCAGGCAGCCACCTGGCACCTTCAGCGTCCTTCGGGAAAACACAAACATGCCCTCGTCCCCATATTAATACCGGGTCAGGGCCACTCCATACACCCGTGAGGGGATCTTTCCACCTCACTTGAGCATATGATGATTTAGTTTTAGGATGCCACAGCTTTTCTGCTGCAGTCAATCCATAAGCATCCACAATTTCCCTTTGCCAGGGGTCCAGGAAGCCCAGAATGAGCCCTAATGTGACCCACATAACAAGGACAGGTCCGGGCATGTATGCACTGTTGTATCTGAGCAAAGTAATTGATTGGTGAGGTCCGCATATTGCCCTTCTCCTGCCAGCATGTCATGATCAGTATCATTTCTATTAGCCCGATTTAATTCAGCTGTTCTTTGACACTGCTCAGAAAATTCTGTTTTCCAAAGGAGGTAATCTCCCCCAGACAGGCATGCCTTAGCAAGCTGTTTCCAGTCTCCGGGAGGCAGCGCCTCCGTGCTCAATGATTCTAACATAGCCTGAGTAAAAGGTGCGGTAGGGCCATATTGCGCACAT